TGTAAAATTATTTACAGTTCTACATTACATAAGTTTCATTACAGCATCACTAAATATTAAACGCAGTTTCTATATTACTTTATCTCATAATAAGGAGCTTCTAGAAACTTTATAACTATTGACAAAATGAACATTTGACAGCTGTGCGATAATGATATGTCGAGAATCGATATATATCTTTGACTAACTAACTGGTCAAACCACATGTGAGAGGACAAGCGACTGCGGAAATTGCGAATATATTCCTTCGTGTATTGTTCCTAATGTGGGTTGATGTCAAAAGAAGCCTGAGAAATGAAGGGACTTTAAAAAAATTGAGTTCCATACAAAAATAAGAACTCACCGAGATATGGAACAAAAATTAGGTATAATTAAGAATAAATCACATATTCCAACGTAGTACCGTTCCTGAATATTATAATAAATTATTTACGAACACCTGTTACTACTCATAGAGGAGTGTAGCCTATCAACCAACATTCTCCATCCAACTGTGTCCACTGTATTACAGTTCTTTCTACTTGTTATTCGTCCTCTTCATCTCTGCTCCATTTCTCAAAGCGACGTGTTCTTTGGCATTCTTCATCAATGTTTACCCTCAGGATTCCGAGTTAGCACTTTCCTCGTAATGCAGTTTGATGATTCGCTCAATGTGTGATCTATCCACTCTCAACGTCTTTTCTTAATTTCCTCCTCAGTTGGAAGTTGGTTTGTTCTCTAGCACAGTAGGCTGTGGCTAATGGTATCCAGTCCACGGACATTCAGTATCTTATGTGGACAACTGTTTATAAATACTCGTACTTTTCTGATGATGGTTGTAGTAGTTCTGAAAGTTTCAGCTCTGTACAGTAGGATTGTTTTGATGTTCGTATTAAAGATCGTGACTTTGCTATTGGTTTAGAGGTGTTTTGATTTCCATATGTTCTTCAACTGTATGAATGTTGTCCTCGATTTGCCAATCCCCACCTTCACGTCTGCGTCAGATCCTTCATGTTCATCGATGATGATACTTAGATAAGAGAAACATTCCACCACTTCCAGAGTTTCTCCATCGAGCGTGGTTATGTTGATGTTCTCTGTTTTGAATTTGAGGATCTTGCTTTCCTTTATATGTGTATGGGCTTACTGCTGCATAGGCCGCCGCCTTTTTGTTTGTCTTGATTTGCATTCTCTGTTTTCCTGTGTCGTTTTACAATGTCGCGAAAACCATTGTTGTTCATTACGACTTTAATGTTTAGATCTTCCATGAGGATTGTCAGTTCGTTTCCTTAGCACTTTATTTTAATCGATTGCAGCCTCTTATGGAACTGATGTTTATCGTCGTCATTGCTATCATTGGTGGTTGCATAACATTGGATGACTTTCACTGTATTTTCCTTTTTCTTTCTTTTACAGAGTGTTTCGATGATATCATGATAGTCCTTTTAATGTTTATCGTGGATCCATGAGATTCCCATTCTATCAGCGCGTTTCATGCCTATTTGAGGAGAATCAGAGCGACTCACGGAGTGTGTGATGCATTTTCCTCTTCGTGATCACAGTACAGCAGCATCTATCCTGAATGTTATGTTTTCTGTCCAGCCTGGGTATAGTGGATTTCACTGATTATGAGAACTGCTAATTTGTATATTCTCATTTCCGTTTCCATTTGAATAGTCTTCTCAGTCTTCCTCATTGTTCTGACATTGTGTGTACCTATATTGATTGTTGGTCAGATTGTTAGAAAGGGCATCGACCTCGTGACTTCTGAAGAATATCGGTTATCCTTATGAGGCTTCACAAATGCTCCCACAGATGGGAGAACGGAGTTTAAATCGTTCAAATTGTTTATTCTAGTTAGCGTCCATTTAGCAAGGTTGTTTTCTTTGGGATGTGGTTAACAAACATATATAAATCTCTCCTCATTTGTGTGGGCACTTGACAAGCAGTAGTCCTAGAAGAGACAGAGAAGGATTTGGATAAATTCAAAAATATGCAGCAGACAGACTCGCAAATCATGTGGTAAATTTGATAGAAGACGGTGAATAATCTTACAAGCTTTATCCAAGTAAACTTAATGTCTTGTATCCACCAAAATGAGGGAGGATAGAACCCTTAATCAATTTTATGTCCTTTGTTCAACGAAGACGAATGATGTTCTGCTAAGTGACGAAGAACTTGTCGAATTATACGCCCTTGATAACTGGCTCCACACGAGTGGTGGGATTGGCAGTTAAACATGGCTGCGGCGAATCTAGACAGTCTCTCTTCAATGGTTGCCTTCATTATCAAGCACTAGTAGAACAATGCATTCAAGTTGGCTGAAGTGTTTTTTGCTCCTCACTTAAAATCCTTTGAGTTACGAATTCCTGAAAGGCATAGTTTAGGAATTGTGACTTTTTGGGTAGTACGTTTTTTGAAACCGTAGATACATTCGGTCTTCTTTTCATCTGACTCATGTGTTTGTTGATGAATTTCTTTGGATATCTATTCTTATTATTATTATCATTATTATTATTAGGCAGGTTACAATGTTGCTCAATTCATCTACTTTGGTGTCAACAGAACAAGTCATTCCAGCACGATGAGTCAGAATCTTTAATAATTTTCTTTCATATCCGATTGCTAAAGCACTAAATAAATGAGCATATTGTCCAACTGCAGATTTCCAACGTATCCCTCTCTCTGATCTTCCACATACTATTCTTGTTGGAAACTTAGAAACGATATGCTATAAATATGTTCTTCCTCAAATGTGAATTAACTGATAAATGAATACTATCAAATATATTAGGCAAATTATCCTCATATTATTTTTCTCTTGCAATGAAGGTGATTATATATTAATTTGGTCCACTTTCTAGCTTTGAGGGGAAACAGTGTGTCAGGAGAGGTCTCAATGGTTACTGAATATCTACCATATTCAATAGTCGATAGTATGTATTTTTAAATAGAAAGTGGGCATTTATTGGACATCTAGGAATTAAATGTTTTATTGCAGATACAGAAATAAGGTTGTCTATATCCTACTCTATTCGTTCGTTGCAAATAAAATACGCTGTTTCCAATAAAGAAATGTCACTGAATAAATGCAATACATCTAATATTTTCACAGTTGAAATCATGAGTCAATTGAAGCTTCAATTGACTCATGATTTCAACTGTGAAAATACTAAATTCTCCACAAAACCCCCTCTGATCTATAATCATATGCTCACTAGTGACTGACTTCAAGAGATATTTCCTTGAGTTCTAGTGGGAAGCAGTGGCCAGTGGAGTTCTACCAGGTCTGTTGTAGAGATATCATCTCACTGAGGACAATTGGTGAACGGTCGCTCAATATCGTGGATTGGTTGAAGTTAGACATTAACACCGTTGGATGCCAGCTCAGTGGTCTATCGGTTAAGGGCTTCGGCTCGAGACTGGTAGGTCCTGGGTTCGAATCTCGCTCGCGAGAGCGGGTTCGTGGATGCGCACTGCTGAGGAGTCCCATAATAGGACGAAACGGCCGTCCAGTGCTTCCAGGTTTTCGATGGTGGTCTAGCTTCAATTGACTCATGATTTCAACTGTGAAAATACTAAATTCTCCACAAAACCCCCTCACATCTAATATTATCATGAAGTTAATTTTGACCGGTAGTTTCCTTACATGATTCACAAATTCAAATTAGTTTTTGAAACTATGTTTTACAATTTCTTTGTGTAACGATTTAAGAATTCGAACTGATCATTATGCTATAAGATAATGGGTTGAATTATTCATATCTGAAACGGATCGAAAGGAAAAAAACAGTTTTGATTGTTTAGTTAACGGTCGTGGTTTTAACTGTTGTAGTAATTAAAGTTTTACACTGTTAATATCGTATTTACATAATATCTATTTTGTTGATGAACTTTTAATGTGAAAATATTTAACAAAAACAGAATTTTATTTTATTTTTTTCATTTGTCAAATTTATTTCAAGTTCATAAGACCGACACAAGTGCAAGTGTAAATAATAATCTAATCTCTTCAAATTGTATATACAACCTAGAGAGACTGGAACTCAATGATGATTGAAAGTCTATTCAGTATCACGCCATTAGGACACTGTGAATTCCACATAATTTCAAATACATCTGAGTTAGTTATTTTTGTGATCATATTTGTTTACACTAAGCAAATCGTTATCAGTGATAGTTTTTGAACGAATGGTGATAATATATAAGGAGTAGAAATTTTAAAGAACAGCTATAGTAAGTATGAAGCAATTGCTTTTATTTCACTTAAACGTGTTACTTTTGCTTCTACGTGCCTCCGTACAAGTTGGTAAGTCATCAATTTTTCATGTACATATTACTTATAAGATCTTTATTCGCATGCGTCAATGGTCATGGTGTATGAATTTTGACAACCTCTGATAATGTTACTGGATGAAAATGTTGATATTTGAGTTAAAAGAAATCAAATATTTGTCAATGTATTTCAGTTAACATTGAGAATCCTCTAGATATATTAGATCATCAATAGAAGTTTGGGATACAGTTTCCTCTTGAAAAAAATCTATTGACTTGGCAGATAACTCTTTAAAGTTAACAGGACCTTCAAGTTGAGTGAATGGTTGTAAAACCATTACTTGACCGATGTATGGTTTGTTGCAAGCTTTTGAAGTCTGATGATTTTTCATCTGAGTTTACCTCAATTTTTTGAAGTACAGTTAGATATATAACATGACAAAAGGTTTAGTTTCAACAAAACGCATCAGTTTAAATTAAGAGTGAATGCGTTTATGTGGTGATCACATTTGGAATGATACTTTGATCATCGTATTGATGTGCGAACGTTTATCATCGTGTGAATTATTTATAATAATACCAGTATAGTTTACATCTTGCAAATGTTCCGTGATTCTTCAAATAAACAGGAATATTCTGAACATGCCATTTTGTTGAAATTATTACAAATTGTGCTCTCTTAATTATTCGTAAACGATAAACTATAAAACATAAAATATCTTCTCCTGATTTCATTGTTTCACCTCATGTATTTGTTAACATTTTCAACTAAACTCAATTATGTTCAAATTGTAGATGGTACGAAATATGAGTCATATAGTATGGACTATATTAAGGGTCGTTTAAAAAGATTAAGAGGTAACTGTTTTCGATTCATGAATGTTTCACATTCTTTGTTATCATATATGAATGAGCGAATTAAGTACAAATTTGAGATTTCAAGCCAGGTGTACGCAGTTTTTCATCTGACTGGGTTCCTACTCTAGCTGAGTGATTCATTGCTCCCTTTCACTTGAAGTAACAAATAAATAAATGTGTATTCAGGGAACATAAGGAATCAAATACGAGTAGGATAATCATGACCATCCTTCAGTTTCGTTGACTTAGTTCAATTAAAATGTTGAATCTAAATGTTTCTCTAACTCAGAATCAACAAACATTGACGATAGTAGAATTAATTAAAGATGGTAAGGCTCAGATAGTCTGTGCATTTAAACTGACTGAATTCGATGGAATACAGTGAAAGATTATAGGAATGTATGAAGAGAGTGAGCAAGTATAGAACGACTATTCGGGTGAATTGTGAAATTGAAGAATAACTTTCATACACGGATATCAGTATGAAATTTGAAATAGATATACAGATGGAGGAGCAAATGTAAGAATAAATGGTTAGATACACAGACGGATACATAGATAGAAAGATTACTTACTTACTTACTTACGCCTGTTACCCCTTGTGGAGGAGCATAGGCCGCTCACCAGCATTCTCCATCCAACTCTGTCCTGAGCCTTTCTTTCCAGTTCTTTCCAGTTGCTATTCATCCTTTTCATATCGGCTTCTATTTCAGATAGAAAGATGTTTGCATCAATATACAGATAGATAGTTGTATTTATAAATGGATTGCTCCATAGATAGTGAGATAGACAAGCAGATATAAAGATAAATAGGCAGAGACAGGTAATGTGATTTTTAAATAGATAATTGTTTAGGTAGGTGGAGAGTTAGATTGATTGATACATGGTGTAGATTTGATGTTATTTACAAGTATGCAAAAAATGTCTGGCTTTCATTGTTTGCATTTTAATTTCCATGCATGTAGGATTCTCTAGCTATGCATTATGTATCTGCACTTATCTATTTGAATTCGCACATTTTTACTTAAGTAATCTCTTTATATTTCAACTATTTATTGTGTTCACTTATTAGATAATTTGAAAAAAGTTGAACTAGTTCTTTACAAATCTGAGGAGGAACTAAAGAAACAAATAGGTAATTTATTCACGAACATGTTCATTTTGTTAACATATTGCAGTTCTCAGCATAGATTACAATTTATCAGGCTGATTTTGATAAACATTGTATTGAATTTGTTTGTTGGTTGTACATATCAAAATGTGTGTGGGAGACATTGCTGATTAATATGAACGGTAAAAGTTTATTTGTGGGTTGCAACTACTATCTGGACACATGTTGGGTGAATTAGACAACTCACCTCTTTCAGAAGAACAAATGTGAAACCTTCGGAACATGTTGAAGTTACCATACGATATTCAATGATATGTAGAGTTGATTTCGGGTTGACTATTTATGCCTGACGGTGGTAAATGTATATACGTGACAAGATAGCACTTTTATTTTTATTTTGCAAATCACTTAATAGAACAATTTGTACATGGTTTACTAAATTCTCAATAATGCAACATGATGATTATACATTTACCGTTTATATTAAATTTTAGTTGTGGTTGTCCAGAAGTTCTCAATTCCTTTAGATACAGTTACTGAATGTATGCGAATGTGATATTAGTACTTTAATAACATTGATGAATTGCAGATGTGAAATGCATGAAATTTTTAATGAAACAGGTGTCAAGTTCTGAATTTTCAACAAAAGGTGGTTTTAAAATATATTTAAATGTATTATTTCACTTTTGATAAAATGAATGATTTACCTTTTATGAGTCACTCGCATGCGCTTTCAATGTATACCTATCGCATAACATAGTTTCGCAATGGAAACTTCTCTTAATGACTAACTAACACTGTCAAGCAATATTCTCAACATCCAGCAACATTATTCTCTAAGTTGTTTTCCTCTTTAAGTCAAAATTTTATTACATGGAATTACTAAATATATAACTTTGTAAATAAGTCGCTTGACATCACTTGTCTGTATGAGCTTACAACACTTTCATGTTAGAATAGTCGTATAAATTCACCGCACAGATGATCCTCCACGTTAACAACCCAGAGATTTCTTCCATATTAGATCCCGTTTATTTACTCTCCCCTGTGTCATCGGAAAATGGCTATTCTGTAAATGTGATATCAATTATACACATCCACACATTAAATAATCAGTACTACTGTTTTAAACTGTGAAGAGATGAGTAGAGTGGGTAAAGTGAATAAATTTTCAGATTTTAGTATTGGATAAATTTCAAAAGTGGATGAAAATCAATTATAGTAATTTGGGAAGTTGACAAAGCGGTTACAGTGTGTTGTATCCCCTGGCGAATTATGAATCATAAATCTGATGTCCATTTATGGACAAATGTAATACGCCTATTCCTATTGGATAGTTGTTAAATGAGTAACCTAAATCTGATGTCTATTTATGGACAAATACAATATGCCCATTCCCTATTGGATAGTTGTTAAATAAGTGACCTAATCGTTTCCGTGTTCCTCTTATCACAACCTTTGTTTTGACCTTGGAACTATTGTTATTGATTACTTTCCCCCTAGCTACAGCCACATTGGCCAATTACTGTACAAATGTTATTTTTCTATTTTTTGGTATAATTGGGTCTGTTTGGTTAGTATATATAACCCAGTGTGCTTGTGAATAATGATTCATATTTCCGAGGCTGTTATTTGTGTTCTGGACTCAACTGGCTGGGCTAGGCAGTTAGGAAGGACCGAATAGCAATCAAGACTGCTCGTACGTATTTTCTGTATCATTGCACGTTTCATATACAATAACGATTGTTATACGAGTCATAACACAGTGGTTACTAGTTACAATGAATATTTTAAACATATACAAATCGTAGATTTCCATACTTGTCTATCACACCTATTTTAAGTAGAAACAAACGCATTGTGCCCATATGAAATTATGATAACAATTTTCCTTGAAATATTTTAGGGTTTCAGGCTATAATATCCGACATCAATTCATACAGTATGTATTTGAATTACTTGATTAATTTGTATTATGGAAATCCATTATTTGACCAAAGTTGGTGATATATTTCAGTTTATCAGTTTCCATATTCATACTATGTATAAACTTATTAATGGTGATTAGAATCTATGTTCAGTCAGATATATCATGATGCAGAAGACAGTTCTCATGGAGGATGATATATATGTAACAATGTACATGAATTATTATGATGTCTAATTATATATTTTATTCCGGTGTGTGTAGATATAACAGTCCGAGTATCTTCGACTCTTCGAAGGTGCTTCAACAGTGAAAGTTTCAGTTTATACGGTAAGAGTTAGCATCCATAACTATTCAGTTAAATGTTGTAATCCAATTGTTCCTTTGTGCTCAAAATAAGATGACATGTATCATGTAACTATTCCTCAGAATTTCCTGTGACTTTCAGATGTTGATCATTTTTGTTAGTTGTGTAATGAAATCTATATAGCTGATAAAGCATTTCGAAATTCATAATGAGAATTGTACACAACCGGATTTTTTAATTAAGAGATGGATAGAACTCACAATCAATAGACATATTGTACTGAAAATAACATGAACTTGTGGGTGTAAATCCAAAACCTAATTTTGAAATTACGAACATATTATTTCATGAGTACTGATATCACATTCCGTTTCCAGTATTCTGCGTAACATCTGAGTGTACTCCTTCTGGTCAGTATTAGTTCCATTACTTAAAGTACGAATACGATTCAAATGACAGACAATTTATGCATACTTTGTGTAATGCAACTGTTCAACAGTCAAATCATCTCAAGCGATAACTTGATAGTTTATCAGAGTGATGGAAAAGAGTGTGGTCCCATATATTAACATCCGAATGCAATTCAACGGTAGCACTCAAATCGATGTTATTTTGTAAGTATAAACAATTAATAGTATTATAGTTTTGAAGAAGGCAGCATATCTGTACATGAAAAATATGGACTAACAAATAATTGTCCTGAGAAGCGTCTTCATCCGAACAACTTAAAAATAATAATGACAGTGGTGTCAAGCATTTAAGAATTAAATATAATTGTGAGGTATCAAATCAGTGTGGGTTTGGAAACTCAGAACTTATTGCTGATTTATCAGTTGCTCATGTACATGAATATTTTACACGACTGAATGTTGAGATAATTCTCATTTTATTATGAATGATAAGAAGTATTATGGAAGTGATCAGAGTTTCTTTTCAGCAGATAATGACAGGATTCGACGCTTGGATCCTGTTCTGATTTCAAGAGCATATATTTTCACTCACATGAAAGGTAGTTAAATGTGACTGCCTACAAGTGATGACCATTTTTTGTATAGCATAAATGTTTGAGTAATATGTGTTAATTGTTGACCATCATTTAAAACATTTGTTATTAAATAGAGTTAACAGAAATAAGATGTGAAATAAATGGACTGGAAGAAGAAGAAGGTAAGCTGAAGTGTATCACACTTTGAATTATGATAAACACTGCATATCCCAGATTTATATCATAATGTACACATGAAACTACTTGCAACAATTAACTTTTATGTTTAGTCAACTGAATTTTACCAAAGCGATTAGAATTCAACAACAGTTAGTTTGATACACCTTGTATGTGTATCTCTAAGCTCTAATTAAGAAGAAAAGCGATAATTCCAAAAATGGTAGACTTATCAATCTATTAATAAATCGCACCGTTAAATGAATTTACGCATTATAACTAGAGAAAGTATTCTTGTTTGTTCTCAGTCATTTAGACTTGTGAACAGATGGTGCACTCAGTCAAAGGAACGAGTTGAGTGGTTATATGAGAATCAAAAGATGGATGATGAGAATATGTGGAAAGCAATGAGAAGAGATTAGAATATCGTTTTAATGTTTTTTTTAAATAATGGGTTTAACTAAAGTTCAGCCAAAAACGCATCCTTATATCACTGACCATGGTAAAGAAAGTGTACATTTATCGGACATATAAGAGTTAAATGTCTTATTTGAGACGCGGAAATGGAAGTTTCTATATGTCTCTCCATTAGTTCACTGCAAACAAAATACACTGTTTCCTATAAGCGGATGTTACTGAATGAAGTCAATACATCTAAGTATATCATGAAGTTAATTTCGACCAATCGATTCCTTATATTATCCATAAATTCAAATGATTCCTTAACACAGTGCTTAACAACTTCCTCTTGAAACGGTTTGAGGAATCGAACTGCTCATTTTGCTATAGGATGATTGGAAAAGTAATTCATATCTAAAACGAGTCGTAGGGGAGAGTTACTTTCACTTATATTTGCCAGACCATCATCACTATATTTCTGAACTTTTCCCAAACGGTTTCTATAATAAAATTCTGTTTAATTTGTTTCAATGATTCATTTAGTTGATAGATGGTAGATGATGAGTGGAAAATACGAATATACTTTCAATGTTTAACTGTGATTATACTTTGATATTTTCCAGAGGTTTCCCAGATAATTGCACTGATTTTCAAAAAAGACGAGATTACAAGAAATTACAATAAACATTTATGTAAGTTATACTCAACCACATTTTATTTGAGAAAATAATAATGGCTCAGTGAGCGGTACATTTGTGAAAAGTATATAGTGTCTAAGTAAACTTTTAATTCTCATTTATAAATAGTTCATTTACTCACCCGAATAACCTACATGAAGCGAAACAACTGGATGTACTATTAAATAATACACAAGTCACCCTTTACAATTGAATATATCAAAAAATATTTTGCGAAATCAGTTGGCGAAATTGTATCATTTATTCCACGTTACAATGATTTACTCTGAGTTTGTTTGCAAACATTTCAGGGATGCATCGATTACTAATAAATATTGCCAATGAAGATAATCGTTGAAACACATAAATGTGAATTGTGAGTCAAATAAATTTATTTCATCGACTATATTCTGTTGTGTAAATATCCATAGTATGTTGCAAGTGAAATGAATTTTTTAAGGATTTTGATCAATGTAAGTGTATGGGAGCGGAATGTAATACAAATGCTCTTCATTTGGAGCCTTTGTGTTGAAAAAGATAGACTTCAAAGCAATTCATGTGAATGCATCTCTAATGAACAAAATGTTGATTGTATTTGGGGCTATCAGTATATACGGCTGATGTCTCAGTGTGAATATCAACAGTGAATTACAGATACATTCAGATGACCAGTGACATAAAGGATGGAAATCACATCATGAATTCCGTTTAAGTCCACAATCCGAATGTCTGTCAATTAGTTTCGAATTATTAATGAAAGATGTCAAATGAATCGTGAGTATCTTCAAGGAGAATTCGAGAACACAACCCATTGAAAGTCTTCGTTATTACACGTATAGTTTGGATAATATACGGTGACTATTATTTTAGTCTTACTCAGTTCACGAATACGTTTGATCGTGTTGTGTTGAAGCGATAAATAATTTAACACATTAGTTATGTTAATTACACGAATCAGATAACACTTCATGACCGTGGTTAGTTTGCATAATTTTACCACATTTAAATGCATGATTTTGTTTGGTCTAGGTGATGTTCGAAAGTGATCGAAGTCACATTTTAAGATGATAATAATCATTGTGAATTATTTGATTTATTTTGTTCGGAAATCGTTGCGATTACTTATATAACAAATGTTATGTTAATCTCCACTATCTTTTCGTATGGTTCTTTTCTTTGTTGATTTCTAGTCATTTGAAAGCAAGTAAAATTTCATGAGCACTGCATGAAATTTCGTAACACCATTTCAGTAAACTAAATTATCAAGCACATTATTATGTAATCGTTTTCTTACTCTCCAATAATCCACTTGATTTGTTAAATCATCACACATGTTTGTTTACATCTTATTTGAGTGAATAAAAAGTTTGCTGTCGTTATCGTTTTGTTATTTCTCAAGACATTCTGTGGTAATATTTGTAGGTTACAGGAGTTTTATAACTTCCGGGAATGATTTATGAGTACCGATCAATCTATTTTGATATATCAGGTAGCGTTCAATAATTATGTTACTAAAGTAAATAGAAATAACGTACACAGGCAATTGAACAGATATTGACCACATTTGTGCCAATTTTGATGGCGACTTTTGAGTTGTTGGAAGCCAGGTTAGCATTCTGAGACAGTGGAACAGACTAATATAAATCGGTAGCTTAGTACGTATTTGCGTGACCACTGTTCGTCCATACATCCTATATGAGTGGTGCGAATACAATTGAGCTGCACAAATTAATAAAATCGAATTGCTGCTTAATCGGAGTAGTAGAAATTCAAGTGTTTTGGGTAGTTCATCAATAATCTTTCAATCACTGGTCAACCGTTCAAATGCCTGATCGATTTGGTTTTTAAGTCGTATTATTGTGAAGTGTGAACATGAACAGCAATGTAGAGCTTGGTGATTCTTTTCTTGGATATTGAATTTTTGAGAATTCTAACATTCGCTTGTAGAATCCACTTCTAAACGGTGCATTCTACAGTTGTTCTGAAACTTGTTAAATGAATTGAACATGACTGATTGCTGGTTGTAAGACAGTAATTCTAATTGAAATGACTGTTTAGAGATGGGCGAAAATACATGTGGATGAGATAATATCTAATCGATTGTTAAATAATCGGATGGTAATTTGTATTCATTCACAATTCCTTTCCTATTTAATTAAATAAATATATGTGCAGGAGCGCACGAAATAATGGGTCCCACAAAGCAAATGGTGATTTATAAAAAATATAAAGCGAGTGAGCTAATGCAAGAACCAAACGAATGAACGGAATTAGTGCATGTTAAGAGAAACGTGTGATGTAGCCGTCAGTTTATTGAAAAAATGGCATTTAGAAAAGCCTATCTCACTCCTGTATGCAACTCTCAAGTAACTACTATTAAATCATGTAAAGTGCACCAGTTTTTAATGTCATGGGAGAACAGGATTCCATGATATGGCTCGTCAGAATGATCAGAAGTTTAGGGAATTCATCCTTGAATTGCAAAGACAAGCTGTCAAGCGCAATTTCGGCGATCAATTTCATGTACAGCTGAGAGTTCGATTAATTGCAGGAATTAACATAGCGAGTCAGGACAGAGAGCTGTTAAGAATGCCGAGGTGTTCTTTTCAAGATGATAGAAATGCATGTATTAACTAAGAAGTAACGAATAAACATGATATTCAGTCGATGAAAACTTTTAATAATTTGCTCAGTCGTGGTGATGTGTAGAGACAGTGATATGTCACTGAGCACTAGCCAAATCATCCAGCAGTTGAGCCACTAAATACCGAACAGATCATTGATCAACCATCGCGCATCAGTTAATCTTACACCATAGACTGGCACAAGCAGTGGTGGTCTCGCTATCTTCTGCTATAAAAAAATCTCAGCGGTATGTAGCGTCTCGTCCGAAATTAAGGGACAACTTTCGTTAGGCGTATGTTTTGACATCTGATTTGTTCGCTGCTTTTAGAACTGATGACGTATTAAGGTTTTTTCATCTTCGCCTACCGAAGGTACCACGCTAACTTCCGCTCCCGTGTCCACCAACAGTTGCGCGCCTATCGTTCGGTCTTGTATATAAAATGGGCAGCTTTTTGCGGGCTTTATGTTCGCTAATGTTGTCGCCATGGACAATTGTGGATTTAGCTTACCTGCCATGCTAAATCTACAAAGTTGTGAACATTTTCTAGCTCTTTAACCATACATTTGATGATACCAACATATCAACGGAGTTGCGAGTCTTCTGGAGGCCGATCGGCTTCTGCCGTGAGAGCCATCTCGTGATAACTTTCGTGGTCACCCGCTTTGTGTCAATTCTGTGGGCTTGCGGCACATAACATTTAACTTCTTCTGTAGAGTACTGATTTTATCATTTACCGTCATGCTGTGTGATTAAGGGCTTGCTTTGCTCTTAATTCTGATCTGTTTACATTTAAGCTGTAAATTTCATGTTATACGATAATATCTTAATTTTAACTTATTGATGGTATATATGATCATATTCATACAATAACTCATAATCAAATATTTGGATATTCATTTTGGTTATACGATATAACCTACCTCTGTCACTTCTTAAAATCGTATATAATCATATTTGATGAGGAATATAATTTCATATTTGTTTTCTATTCATTATATCGTTTTTGGATGCTGCGACACAGATACTTTGTGTACTTACAGGATCTATCCTTCTCTTATTTTGTTTCTAATGCAGTGGAGGTAATATCTAGAGAGCGATACTAAGATGTCAGATGAATGATTATGTATTTATTTGGTCCATTTTCCGTTTTTGAGGGGAAACAGTGTGTCAGGAGAGGGCTCAATTGTGAATGAATGACTACACCATTCAATAGTCGATAGTGTTATTATTATTATTATTCACAAACATCTTATGGGTACATAAGTGCTGTATGTATTGTTGAATAGGAAGTGGGCATTTATTGGGCATCTAGTAATTGAATGTTTTATTTCAGATACAGGAATGAAGGTTTCAATATCTCACTCTATTCGTTCGTTGCGAATAAATTACGCTGTTTCCAATAAGGAAATGTCACTGAATAAAGGCAATACATCTAATATCATCATGAAGTTAATGTTGACCGATAGATTCTTTAAATTATCAACGAATTCAAAGAAGATTTTGACACTACTTTTCACAATTTATTGGTGGAACGGTTCGAGATTTGGACTGATCATTTTGCTACAGGATGATAGGCTGAATTATTCATATCTGAAGCGGGACGATGGGTCAATTCACGTTCATGTTTATCAGTCAAACGATGTAGCCTTACTGTTATCCTTGTCATATTTCGTAACGTTTCTTAACGTTTTTCAAAACAAAATGCTGTTCGATCTGTTTCAATGGTTTAATTAGTTGGTAGATGATGGGTGAAAGATATGAATATACTTTCAATTTTTAACTATGATAATCCTTTGATATTTTCCAGAGGTTTCCCAGTTACGTAAATTAATTGTAGACAATTACGAAAACGTGAATAACTACAATAAAAATTTATGTAAGTAATACTCAACCACATTTTATTCCGGTATATATATGTGACTTAATGAACAGTACATTTGCAAAGCATGCAGCGTCTAAGTAAACCACTCATTGTAATTCATGAATGGTGCATTAACTCATCAAATAACTCACATGAAGCGAACCAACTGGATTTACCATTAAACATTACACAAGTTACACTTTACAACTGAATGTATCAGAAAATATTTTGCAAAACTAGTCGGGGAAATTATATTATTTATTCCAAATTACATTGATTTACTCAGTGTCTGTTTGCAAACGTTTCAGTGAAACATCGATTCCTAGAAAATATTGCCAATGAAATTAATCGTCGAAACACACAAGTTTGAATTGTGAGTTAATTAAATTTATTTCATCGACTAAATTCTTTGTGTAATTATCAGTAGTATATTTTGTGGAAAACTCCACCTGTAGCTCCTCTGGGGGTTACTGCCGGTCCCAAGCCCGGGTAAAGGAGGAGGGTTGGGCATGGGGTTAGCGACCCCATCCCGTAGAAAATCAACTCGCTAAAAAAACGCTAACCAGAAAAAATCATTCAAACCTTTCAAACTCTGCCCTGGGAGTAGAAGGAATAATTATGACGTCTCATGATGAAAGCCGAGTTCATTCGGAAGTCATGAGGCCGATGCACATTCTTACAACCAGAGCGACAATTTTTATAGGTACATGGAATGTCCGAACAATGTGGGAGACCGGAAGAGTCTTCCAAATTGCTGCAGAAATGAGAAAATACAACCTGGAGGTTCTTGGAATCAGCGAAACACATTGGACGCAGGTTGGACAACAACGACTGTCTTCAGGAGAACTTCTGTTATACTCCGGTCATGAAG